GGTTTGGCGAATGTCAAATGTTTCCTTAAGAGACCTGCTTAACACTTGCTCGGACTCCCYRATAGAGYAATCAATACTTAATAAGAAGAACTTCTAAACTACCATGACTTGAGCTGGGTAAAGCTGTTCAATGCAATATCGCCAGATACTGATACCAATACAGTTGATACATCAAATATTTGGTTTAAAAGGGAAAATTCCAACATCTAAATAATGGCATCATTAAATGCCATTTCAAAACAAATGATGGCAGCCGCCAACTGTTGGAATCAAGAGATTTTGAGTGGGTTTAACACCCTTCCCAAGAACAATGTACATCCTTGAGTCACCCGCCTCTCCAAATCGGTTGCATGCCCAAGAATGGCAGCAAAATGAGGTGGTTTCGACTCAAAAAAGTCAAAAATAGAGACTGTTATCACTAAAATCCTTATCTCTAAATAATTTCAGAACAGAAAATAGAACAAATGAGGAATTTGAGTTAGCAAGCTACAAGATGAGAGAAAAGATTTAGAGACGCATGTAGACCCAAATCACCAGAATGTGATATCGGCCTTATATGCGAGAACTCTCTTCTTCTCTTTGGGATTAAAAGATTCCTTAGGTCACAGATTACCATCTGATGAAGACACATGTAAGTCTTCGATGGATAATCTCACCATCTTTAATTCCCGAAACTTGTGTTGAGCAGGAAGAGAAATTAGGAATTTAAGTACTAAAGAGGAATAAATGGTTTTTAGAACTTACCTTTTTGAAGACGAGGCAGATATGAGTGACCCGAACACGGCAGAATTCCTAAACTTACAGGGAGAAGAGTTCGGCTTTGAAGGTGATGAACTTTAGAGAGGGTGAATCGAGAAAAAAGCTGGAGCTTTTTGAATAAAGGAGAGTTTTCAAAAGAGAAGGGGGTATTTATATGGGGCTTCTAGAGGAGTAGTGGGCTGGCCTCTAAAGGCCCAAGCCCAAGGGGCTTTTGGTTCTCTAAGTTGAGCCCCAAAAATATAAAATAACCAAAACGTCCAAGTCTGGAAAAAGACCAACTGTCGTGCCAAATCGATCGATCATGGGAAACCAGCGTCTCAATAAAAAGGAAACAGAGCTTCTGTGAAGAGACACCAGAGCCTCTGTGGAGAGACAACAGAGTCTCTGTGAAGAGACGACAGAGCTTATGTGAAGAGAAAACAAAGCCTCTGTAGCTAACATCAGAGCCTCTGTAGCTGTCACCAGAGCCTCTATGGCTGTTTCTAGAGCCTCTGTGGCTATTACCAGAGCCTCTATGGCTGTCTCCAGAGCCTCTGTGGTTATTACCAGAGCCTCTATGGCTGTCTCCAGAGCCTCTGTGGCTATTACCAGAGCCTCTGGTTGTTCAATCCTCTGGTTGATCAGGCGACCTCTTCAGAATCATACTCTGGATAAGGTTAATCCTAAAAGACTTGGTTTTTCAAATGAAGGTTCCGAATTATGGTTCTAACCTGAAAATCCAAAATTGCAGAGTTGTTACAGTTCTGCATTTAAGTTTTGAGAAAGAGCTCTGTCTCTTCACGTAATGCGTCGAGGCTCTGTCTCTTACTCCGAAGATGGCCTTCAGACTTGTAACTCTGAATAGTTTCCGTCTTAATCTCTGGAAACTTTCTTTATGCTTGTGTCCTTGAAGCCTGATTTCGTTCTTCATACAGAGCTTAATGGAGGTTCTATAGGTGCTACAGGGTCATTCTGACCCTGCATCCGTCCTTCATACAGAGCTTCATAAAGCCTCTGTACTTGTCTTGAGTAAGAGTTCTATCTCTGCATGTACTATCCACAGCCTCTGATTCCATTTGCTTGTCTCATATAGAGGTATACAAAGGCTCTGCATGTACTACGCAGCGCTGCATATTGGATCTACATTGTTCGTCTTCATTTAGAAGTTTTTCTGATCATCGAAGTACATGCCGTCCTTTATATATGTAACATTTAATTCTCGAGTAAGAGCATCTTTATGTCAAAAATTTAATCGGACTTGTACTTTTTTCTAAGTTTATAAATTACCTCCGATTATTAATTCTTTATAAAATATATATATCAGTTTCGTTTAATTTTTGTCATTAACCCTAATACACGGGTCCGAACCCGTGTAATTTTCGTTTAATTTTTGTCATTAATGTGACATCCGTCATTTTTGGAGCGTCAAGTTAGCACCTTTAAAGGGGTTTCTATATTTAAAATTATATTTTATTAGGATCTAGTCATGTTGATTA